AGGCAAAGAGGAAAAGGGTCTTGGTTGGCAGCTGTGGCTGTAGGTGAAGCCCTCTCTACACATACGTATTGCACAGTTAGCTGGTTAATAGACTATTTATGTGTGCAAGGTGAGTATCATGCTACAAATAAGTACATCCAGCTATAAGGTTAGAGCTTGAAAATGTGTAATAACTTTATAGCTGGTTTATATCCAGCTTTAATTTACATGTGTAGCAGGGAATCATTGGATGATAGCTATGCTCCCTTAACTGGGAGTCCTCATGATTGGAAGCCCCATTAATTGTAGAGCTTGCTATGTGCTAGTGCAGGGAGAGCCTAGGATCTTCCTGTGCTGGCAATAGGGCATGATTGGATCTCAAGCTGGATCCCACAGTCATGCCTTCTGCCATGCATGTGTGGCATGGCAGAGATGCGACTGTGTGGAACATGCATCAGATCCTATTACGCTTTTACCTGAATGTCTAGAGGCGCCCTGAGTCTGGCTGGAAGATGCTTAGAGAATGTTATATTTGTAGTTTTAATTTAGTTAAACTAAAATTTTGTTTATTAACTATACTGCTAAACGACACACACTTTTGCTGTTTATTTTAAGTGTGGGATGATTATAACACTTTCCTTATGAAAATATTCTTTCATAATATACTTTCCTTTTATTTCTATAAAATGTGTAAAAATAATCTAACTGCTGACATATTAACAAACATGGTTTGTGATCTCCAATATATTTATAGTGATGTTGAGTGATGTTGTAGCATGATGGTCCAGGAATTGTGGGAGGCAAGGACTTCTTAAAATGGTATTTTAAATTGGACTAATTGTGTAGTAGGAATAGAGTTAAATAAACTTTTGAATGTAAGATATTCTTCATTAGGTCAGAATGTCTTCCATGTCTGCTTGTCTGCTGTAAAGTGTACATATATTGACACCAGTCTTGCAAGATGCTGCATGTCATTTCTGACATTTCTGGTGTCTTTTTTCCTCTTGACTTCAAAATAATATTTAAAGGGTTGAGGATGCTTGCCATTTTGTGGATTTATGCCCATACTTTAAACACGTATGGGTCTTTTGATTTTGAAGGTACTAACTTAAGGCTTTTCCATAAAATATACTCTTTCTATATGGCAGCATTGTTACTACTAATAATAATAAATAGTATTTTAGGTTTAAGATGCAACTTTGTTGTTAGGGGTTAATCGGATTTTACTGATGTGCTTCTGTGCTAATGCAGGATTAAAGGAAAATGGATGACTGCTTTTATTGTTTTTTTTGATACAGTAGTGAGGGAGTGGAGCATTTACCTGAACAACTATGCCTTTACTGTAGAGTCAGGTAATATAAGTGTGAAAGTCCTTGCTTGAATGCTGTCTTGTTAAACTACATATTCCTCAGGTTACACAGAACTGTATTTCTCAAGTCTAGCCCCCCTCTTTAGGTATTTCTCATGCTTCAGGTGAAATTAATTTGAGTTCTTGAGTCTTCCACTTTTGAAACCGTTGCCTCCACATGTGTATTTTTGACTCGGTATTCCAGCTTGTTATGTCTAGTTTGAGCCCTTGAGGAAGGCAGAGCCAGATTTTTCTTTCTGGCAAACACAGCTATACATCAGTAGCTGTCTTCAATAAAATGCCAATTCGAAGTGCTGTATGTTGGAGAGTCTCTTTTAGCATAACAAATAGAAATGGAAAATAAGTTTTAAGTGCAAATTTTAATCACGATACTAGGATGCTAGGCAAAACCCACTGAAAAGATGAATGTTATGGTTGTTATAACTTATAACAATAGATTATGATTATATAACCTATTTACTAAACAGTTTAAATGTCATGTGTGTTGCAGTATCCAAGTTGTAGCCGTATTGGTCTAGAGGAAAAGGCAATCAGAACTTGTAGTAGAGATGATATCTTTTATTAGCTCAACCAGATTTTTGCAAAAAAAAGTATTTAATTGCAAGCATTCAGGCCATTGGAGAAAAGATTGTAAAAGTTCTTCTGGGTAGAAATGAAAGTTCATATTTCATAGGATTTCACAGAGGAGTCACTAGATGGAAAACTCCTTTGGGCAGTCAGTTTATAGCTGGTATGGAGCCTCTCACCTCCTGTGAGGATCTGTGATGTTGCAAATTACCTTGAAACAAAGGCAGAGGCAGGAGGAGGATCTTGGGTTTCAGGTGGTCACAGCTGCTTCCTGCTTGGAAAAATATGAAGATTTCATTTTTAAAAATTGGCTAAAATTCAATCTCTTCCATGTGTCAGGTATCCAGGTTGTAGCTGTATTGGTCTAGAGGAAAAGGCAGTCGGGACTTGTAGTAGAGATGATATTTTTTTTATTAGACCAACAAGATTTTTGCAAAAAAATTACTTTAATTACAAATGTGTGTTGCCATGCTTGTGTACTCTTGTTTCCAGCAGCCTGTTGAATGTGTTAATTCATCCATCATCTGATTAAGTCAAAATGTGTTTCTGATAGTTATCTCCTTCCTGGAATTTATGCTTAATTTTTATAGCTATTGGGTTGTTCTGGTTCTTTTCTGGTTATTGCCTTGTCTTCCCACAACCCCCAGTTCCCTTGCTGGTATAGAAACTTACAAATGAGATTGCTTTCCACTGTCAGCTTTAGGGTAATTAATCCTATTGCCTTGCACTATGGCACTGTCAAATAATTTTGCACACCATTGGTTTACACTCCATATTAAGGTTGCACTTGTTATTTCTGTCTGACTTTAAAGAAGGTAACACCCTTTATATAAAGCATGCAAAATGGAGTCTTTATTTCTTCTGTCTTCTTCCAAATACTAAGTTAATAGTCTGGTATGTATACCCTTTCTTATCCTATTAGTTTATCCTGTCCCTGGCTGAAAGCCCACACCTCCCTCTGGAATTTCTTTAAAGGGCTCTGAAGACTTGGAGAGACTTTTTTTTTTAAACTCCTGTCACATTCACCTGTTTAGCTCCTTAGCATCTGAGGCAGGAGGAAGGATCCCTTCACACTTGGCTCTAGGTTGTATTATTTGAGGGATATTATATAACTCTTCATACTATTGTCATCTTTGTACCCTTGTGAGTCCTACTCTCACATCTAGTTTGCTGACTCGCAAATAGTGAGATGGTAGTAGAACTACTGAGATATATGTGAGAAGCAAAGTTTTAGTGATCTTTTATTGGACAAACTGTATAGTTTGGAGAAATGCTATAGAAAGTTTTGTCTGAAAGCCAACAAACCCCCTTGCTTCTTCCATGTTCTCTGGGCTATTAAGGCTACAACAAGCAGTCCAACCCTATCTGGGGACAGACCTAGCTGTTGTATACATGTCAAATTATACTGATGACACACTGTAACTGTTACAGACACATATTTATGTAGCAACACAGGTGTAGTAAAACCATTGCTACTTAAATCTAGAATGAAACCAGGTTAAAGATATAGTGATTTTGTTAAGCTATCACTATAGCAGCATGCAGACTTAACTGTTACAGCCTAACAGCTAAACTGCATTCCTAAGCGGCTGCCTCCTCCCTTCCCTTTTTAAATAAGTTGGAAGGTACATTTCTTCATAACCTTATGCTTAAGTCATAAATGCCTTTCTTGTTCACAAACTACCTATTAAAAATTGGGGGCTTCAGCACCCATACTTTGCTGTGTTACAGCCTCTCCTGCAGCTAACATGCTGCATTTTGAGTAAAATCTTTGGTCCCGTTTTCTTTTGTGTGGGAATTAGTCTTCTGGTGAGGTCTGTGTTCCCTCTGGAGACTCCCTGTTCATGTGTTTGTTGTGCACAAGAGAAAAGAGAGAGTCCAGCAGCGTAGGATCAAAGAGAATGCTGCAACGTGGGTGAGAGAGGGGAGGAGGAACCAGAGAGAGCCTGAGAGTGGAAGGAAACTTGAGATGTAAGAGAGAATTCTCTTTATGGCTGTATCTTGCAGCATATAGGTCTATGTAGTATCCCTTTAATTGGCTGAAGTACATCTTTTATGTACATTGGGAGCAGGAAGTATAGCTGTTGACTGGAAAGAGTATCAGATAAGAAGCTGTAAAAACAGGTTATATTTTTGCTCCAGCTCATAATGAGAAAAAAATGTTTACAGTTGAGTCTGTATGAGCAGTTCCTGGCCCTTCTTAATATCATGAGATATAGTGAAAAAATGGAAGATTAGCTTACTACAGCATATTCCCCTTATCCCTTGCTGATAATAGATACGTAAGTAGAATTTTTTTATTGTACTAGGACAGATGTACTAGGACTTTAATCCTTTTTTCCACTGAGAAGTCTGCTTTTCAGCAGTCACGACATTCCAGACTCCCTTACGTATTATAGCCTGATACTGCAGCAGGAAAGCGTGCGTTTTGCTCTTAGCTGCAATTTTAATAGAAATATTAGAAATCTCTTATACTTAGTAACAGTGATACTGAAACTGGGGAAAAATGTATCTGGTAGTTTGTTAAAGAAAGTCTGCACTGAGTGGGAGCAGCTTTGTGTCTGACAATAGTCCGATACTAACATTAAAAGCAATAGAAAGAATTTGTACGAATTATTTGCAGCACTGCACATTTTTATTTTTTAATGGGATGTAAGAATTGTATTGTTCTAGAATTCAGTTGTCCTACTAAGTCATTCATTTATGTCTTGCCTACAATTAAAAAAATTTGCCAGTATAACTGTGTATGTGTGGAGTTTGGAAAAATCTCATGTATAAGCCAGCTTTTCTGGCAAGGGCCCCAGTGCTATTATGGCAGTAGGGTCATCTTTCTCAATATACCTTATTTCATTTGGGGAAGTAGTTTAAGTTATATTGGCAGAATTTGTTTGCTGGTTTAAGCTGCATCTCCACGAGGGGAAGCTTAAGCCATTAATTGTAAGGCAGGAAATTTTTGAACCCTGCTCAAAGATGTAGGAGCACATTTCTGTAGTTTGATATCACACTAAATGGCGTTACAGTTGCTAAAGGCTTTTGCTTAAATTTAAACAAATATAGTCATAAATCCTTGTTCTTTTCCTCATAGACCTTTCCGCAGCCCAGAGAAAATTTGCCCACTCCCTGAGGGATTTTAAATTTGAATTCATTGGTGATGCTGAGACAGATGATGAGCGATGTATAGGTAAGAAAGAGCTGAATTTGTGCACATATTTTTGGCCTTGTAATGTAGTTCTATGAGGTCTTCATTTTTTTTCCCCCTGTTACAGATGCATCTCTGCATGAGTTCTCAAACTTCTTAAAGAATCTTGAAGAACAAAGAGAAATTCTGGTGAGTTGAAAGTTCTTTACAGTAAAAATAAAGTGAGCATAAAACAAGGATAAAAATGAGATCTAACTAAAAATGTTTGTCCTTAAGTTAAACAGCAAGGTGTTGGCATCAGTGTCTTTTTGTAAACTCTTATTGGGCAATTTTGAATTTGCTACTGCAAGTTATTTGTAGCTTCTCCTGACTAAGGGGTAAATACTGTGGTATTCATGAAGAGCTCCCAGAATCTAGATGAGGCCAGGTACAAAAGTTACACTTATTGTGTGAGAGGTGTGCAGAAAGTGCTCTACAGTCATAACTGAATAGATGGTCAAGGGACATAGAGCACCATAAAAATGGTAGGTCCCGCTCTAAGATAACCCTGGGTTGATGTGCTGTCAGACTTCAGTGCAGTAGGTTAGAGCTCAGTATTGAACATTTGTGCCAGATCCCATCGTGACTTAAGGTAGGTCACATTTTGTTGACATACCATTGAGCATTGCAGCACCCAGCTTACTCCCCATCCCCCTATGGGGTGGAGGTCTAGCCTAGGCCAGAGCTCATCTCCTCTGCCCAAGCTCTGAGCCAACCCTGCTCCTGGAATCTCACTGATGAGAGTCAGCGGAGCCTCTGTTTCCACACCTGCCTGCATCCATCCTCCAGGGTAGCATATATCCATCCACACAAATAAACCTGTTGCTGAATATCTCTTATTGACTATTGTCATGGGTGCTAGTAAGCAAGTACTAAATGTGTGGGTCTGCTGCTATTTTGCCTCTGCTCACAGTTAATGTGTCTTAAGGACTGATTCATCTTCACTGATTTCTGGCAATGGGCAATTCCCCAATGGAAATAAAAATTTACTTGGACATCAGCATGCTCACATACTGTTACATAGCACCTATACTTTCCAGCTAATCTGCGGAAACCAACTGCATGTCTAAAATGTAGATTATGAGAAATAACTTATACTGCCTGTACTGAGTACAGGATGTAGGACCAGAAACCTTTGAGTCCAGCTCACAGACATGAAATCCTAGAAATCTGGGATGCATTCAATAGCCCATAAAGAAGCAGAGTGTGTTTCTCTTTTTTCATGTCTTCAAGGCAACTTCTGAAATTTCTGGTCCCTCGAGTAATAGTTTGGAACTATGTGCATGTGATAGAAAGCTGGTTCAGACAGTCTGTTACAGAGTTTGAGAGGTGCTGCTGGGAGTCCCCCAGATGCATACTTAGGGCACCTAGGTTCTGGAACATGGGTTTTGTCAAGCTCCCACACTGATTTATTAGTTGCCATTTTTCAGTTGTTTTCCTGGCTATGTGAATAATAATATCCAATAGTTTTGCTAGCCTTAATGTAATGTTCCCTTCTTAGAGCAACCCCCCCACCCCCATTTAAAGAAAAAAACAATCCTCTGAGACAAAGAATCTAAGACGTTTCCCTTAGGAAACACCTCACATTCTTCAGTGGGAGGAGAGAAAACTCTTTCCTTGCCTTCCCAATCTGCTGCCTACAAAAGAAGCAGTGACTTCATTTTCCTTTTTGAATCCAGTAGATTTCTTAAAATCTGTACAGAATTTTGGAAGCCAGGGGAGACACGGGGACACCCTCCTAAAGCTGTAGTGAGTGGAGGCAGTCAGGTTGTCCCATTTACCAACTAGTGCCCTGGAAAGGATGATTTAGGATCACCAGGTATTTGGTACTGTGTCAGTATTCCATCAGTTCTTTTTTAATTGCCTAATTAGGTGATGTCCTAACATTACCAGCCAATCGGAGGCATTGTGTGTTTGCAAGACAAGCAGTGAAGCTGTGACCCATAGGGCCAGGACATTACACTGTTTATCAAGAAATTGTTGGAAGGCTTTAAAAGGCATTGGTTGTTTGCATTCATGGCAATAGAGGAGGGCCACTTGCATGATCAGGGGGCAGCAGGGCAGGCCTTATGAGGACAGGCTATGGGACCTGAACCTATTCAGCCTCCACAAAAGAAGGCTGAGGGGGGATCTAGTGGCCTGTTACAAACTAGTCAGAGGGGACCAGCAGGCACTGGGGGAGTCCCTGTTCCCCTGAGCACTACCAGGAGTGACTAGGAATAACAGTCACAAGCTGGCAGGGGGTAAATTCAGATTAGACATCAGGAGGCGCTACTTCACAGTCAGGGCGGTTAGGATCTGGAACCAGCTTCCAAGTGAAGTGGTGCTGGCTCCTACCCTAGGGGTCTTTAAGACAAAGCTAGACAATCACCTTGCTGGGGTCATTTGACCCCAGTACTCTTTCCTGCCATGGCAGGGGGTCGGACTTGATGATCTGCTCAGGTCCCTTCTGACCCTACTAACTATGAAACTATTAAGAGCAGTTATAGATATTAAAGCATTTTACACTTTGAGAGAAGAGAGAGGTAAGACAGCAATTACAGAGGTGAATGAAGCCAACTAAGGCGTATCAGGTGAAGCTGTTGAGTGCTGTATACCTATAAAGAAAATAGGAATAAAAGCCAGTTGTGTGGGGGTGTAAATTAGGAAGCAAAATCTTGTCTGAAATATATTAATAGCATTCCACTTTCTTTCTTCTTCTGAAGCCTTTTGTGGAGAAAATAATAACAGAAAGAAAACTATTTTTTGTTTTTGGTATCTACAATCAATAATATATACTCTTTCCATCTTGCATTCTCCAAAGTGATTTTGGATGCATTTGATGCAGGAAGTGGCTGCTTACACTCAGTATTTTTTAATGTCCTGATGCAAACAGTGTCTTTTTCAAACCATGTTTGTGTTTGCCTAAGACTTAGGTTAGTTCTCAGTTCTGAAGCAAAAGGTCTCTTGACTTTTCCAGTTCATTCAAAAATCACTTTCATGTACAGAAGGGATTAAAGCCTTAAATATGAAATTTCAATTTAGGTGCGTAGGAGAGTGTTTACATAGAGTTTTGGATCTGAATCTGGCATATGGTTTTGGTTCCAACACTGAAATAGTTCTGCTTATGTCTGTTCTTGAAGGGTTACAGCTCTGAATGATGCAAAGTAATGAGAGGAGATGATCTCTCCTTATCTCTGTCTCATACACCCTTTCATAATCTCCTTCCTTTTCAAAATGAATTCATACTAACACAAAACAGCCACTTGACTGTGTGTTGCCTTGTGCCTCCTCACTTGTGACATCTGTAGTTATACTGAAATCTCCTCCAGACAGGGACTTCGTATAGTGCCAGTAAAGGATGGTGAAAGTGGAAAAAATGCAGTCTAGTAAAATTTGTCGAGTACTACCTGGGGTTGCCATCCATGATTTTTTTTTTTTTTTGAGGGAAGTTTCCTGCAATGTCCTTCATTCTCATTCAGTGCAGACGGACTTCCCTTTTTCTTTCTCACTGATCAGACAGCTAGGAGATGATAGGTTGGTGTGTGGGTGGGTGGATGTTGCTTGGGGCTGGGGCACTGAACCTCCAAGCCAGGACAAGCAGAGAGACATCCTGTGATCCTAAGGCACCACATGGGCTGCGGACCCTTGACTCTTACAGCCTGGGTGGGGCATGTGGCATTGCTAGAATCGCAGGGCATCAGCTGAAAGCTCCTGGACAATTCAGGATTCTGGAGGTAACCTGAGCAACTGAGCCCAGGTGATGCAGGAACAGGGGTCCAAAGCCTCTGAAGTGAGAACAAGAGCCACATGTTGGGAACTGCACCCTTCCATCTGTTCACCCTTCCAGCCTTTCAACCATATCTTTGCAGCCAGATCCTCACCTACAGACACCGAGACCTCAATGGGCTATGTCACAGACTTTGGATGAACACAGCTTGTCTGCCCCCAACAGCTAAACATGGGAATGCAAATGGCAGTTTGGGGAAATAAAGGAACTCAGTGGCATCTGGGGTGAGGAACACATCCAGCATTGGCCTCAGATAGGGCACTGAATTAGATACGTCTTCAAGTGTATTGCCTGGGAGATGCAGGGGAGGGGTCAAAATAGAGACTGGGAGTGTCTTGCCAAGATCACTTTGATGAGATGGCATTATTACTGCATGCTTGTTGCTAGAAAGCAGTCCATGGACTGGGGTTAGAGCATGCCATTCTGCAAGGACCTGTTCCATTTCCTTGGCAAGAACAGGGCAGATGCCCCCTGCTCCCCCCACACCTACAGGATTAGGGGTGTTCTGGAGGAGTCTCCTGCATGGACCCCAGTGGAGGAGGAGACGGCGGAGGGAGATCCTGCAACATTGTTCCCCACATCGGGGTTACAGCTGTTCCAGACCAATCCTGTTGCACATCTCTGTGCCCCTTCCAGAGGTGCAGAGCATGTACCAGCACCCCTAGTACCAGAAAAGTGGCTGCTGCGCTGGCATGACCTGCAGGACCCACACCTAGTTCTCTTGGCATTTCTCCTGAACCGAGCAACCTCTGACGGTAAGGTTCACCTGAGCTCCACACGACTGTGATGAGGATTCAGGCCTTGTGGGGGAAAGTGCAGGGGGGAAGCGGGGGGAGCTGAGGCCACCACAGGCCCACCCCTCTGCAGTCAGAGCCCTCTCTCAGGCCATTATGTCTGAGAAGGGCTCAAAGGGGTTAGGGCTGAGGGAAGGGGCATGAATGCTGGGGCGTATGGGATAGGTGAATTGCCTGTTTTCCCCCCACCCCTGCCTTTTCCTGCTAAAGCTTGGACCCCAGCCAAGGCATCAGTCTTCCCCTCCCCCCATTCCGCCCCTGGGCCCCTGAAAATAGGGTGCCAAGTTAAAAGCTCTCTACCCTGTGTGCCTTCAAGGTTTGTTGAGTTCAAGCCTTGTGGTGTTCCTCTTGACCCCAAGCCCCTTTCCAGGTTCTGTCATTCCCATTCTCAACCCCCCATCCCCACTCTGCCACCACTGCCAAATGTTTGCTATTGTGTGTGAATTGAGAGGAGGGACCAAGCTGAGACATGAGCAATGTACAGCAGGTTTTCTTATTAAAGACAGGAAAAGTTTGGCAACCATGACATCTTAAATGTCTCTTCCTTGTAGTGTATTCCCCCACATGCAGGTATGTGCCGTGGTGGG